CCACATGCTTGATATAACTTAATAACAAAACTTATAAGAAATTCTGAAAATACATCTCCATTAATGTACATATAAAATTAAATATTGAAAGTACAGTAGGAATGACCATTGTACTTTTTGATCAAGAACAGGAGATGTAGATTGTAAGAACATGCATGTTTTATTGCCAAGCAAGAAGAACAAAACTAAACTAAGTCAAACCACAAGTGCATAATGATTCACCCTTTTTGTATGCAGTGCCCTGGGTACTAATAATATGATGACTGCTGGCCCAAAATGGAGCCTACTGACAATTTGAATTTATTTTAGTACTGGAAATATCTAAGAGTATAGTAAATAAACAGTAAAATATTCATAGGAAAGAAATTAACAAGAGTAAACATTTCAGTTAATGACCTGTACTTGTCTGATCATAGCTGCTGCCCTGTTTGCTTTGTTCATGTTCCTACAAGCTAAGATCACATGAGCTCCGTGAAGTGCCAGTGCCTTGGCAGTCTCAAAACCTAATAATAAGTGTTGGAAATTCAATTAACAACAAATAAAAAAATGAACTCATGATTAAAAAAAAACAAAACAAAACAAACAAAAAAGATTTCATTAGTTTAATCCTTTAACTCCCATAAGAGACCAAGACAGAATTTCTCCTTAAAATATCAATACAATATCAAGAAGACAAGTGACGAGGACAAAGAAAGATATAAATTAGGGGATTGTTAGTTGATCCAATACCAAATACTCCAAACTAATATTGCAATATTTATATGGCAGACAGTAAAGAGAAGCACTAATGAGATCTTGGGAGTTAAAGGGTTAACAGGAGCGAAATTTTAAAATAGGATAAAAATCAATTGAATACTGCCTCACTACCTGGGTAGGACTTAACCTTTTGACTCCCAGAAGTGATTAACATGTTACTTCTCCCCATAGTATCCATACATTATCCAGCAAATAGGTGGTGAGATTACTCAAACTTATCAGGTACACAATATTATCTAGATTGAACATCAAATTCTCATAACCATTTTACAATGAAATGTGTAGCAGCTAGAGGAGAGAATTAACAATCAGATCTTGGGAGTTAAAGGGTTAATCATTACTTCATGTAGCTACAGTTTTTGTTGGCTTAAAAACATGGATGAGATCAAACAAAGGAATGTTTTAAACCAGGTAAGAAGAGAGGGCATTGAGATGTAATGATCCAACTAGTACATGCTTAAGGTAAATCAAAGGACAATTATAGTTAATTTCAACATGTAGAAAGATGGCCATTGAAGAGAGGTTTGGTGTGATAATAGTAATCTGAGAGTGAAAGAAACGATGCTTGTTGCAGATAGCTGGCCTTCAGGAAAGGTTCAGTTTTATTTTAAAATGGTTCCTGAACACAATGTGTTAAATGTGCTAACCTATGCCACTATTGGCTCCTGTCACAATGGCAACCTTTCCACTCAAGTCCTCTCCATTTAACACATGCATGGCCGTAGAGTGACTATCCAACTTTTTTGAATTTTTTTTACTTTTGGTGAAGTTCAGGGCTATTCTTGGGTCAGCATAAGTGGTTACTCTATTCACAGAACTGTTAAAAGATTGTACCAATCAATCAGTGGAAACTAAATTATCTTTAAGAATGGATCCTACCATAACACAAGATGAGAACTTGGATATATGTCAGCTCTCCCACTACGACAAGAAGTCTTTAGGATACCAAAAAAATCTCCAGATCAACACCTTGTTAAATTTTCCATAAAATAGTAAATCTCAGAACATGTTTGCATGTAAAAGTGAAATCAAGGGATATTTCATCTGTACCAAAAAATTGTTACCAGTGACAGATTTTCTTCTTAGGGATGATTGTTTCAAAAGAATTTTTGGGGGACTTAATCCAGACATGTGCATCTACATGACGAGTGACTTTCAGTTTATGGTCAGAGATTGCAACAAAGCAGTCATTTCTAATTTCAAGTTTTTAAAAATAAAATTGGGTAATGGGTCAAACAGCTCCAAATACTTAACATTTCCAGAGGATAGTATCTCTGTGATATGATTTCAAAGAGATTAAATTACTCACTCAAAAAAGAAAACACTCCCTTTACTGTCATACAATTGTTGCCAGCCTTGTGGAAGCTCTACAAAAAATAAATCTCTATAAATGAAAAAAATGGTAATCTATTTGTAAGCCCTATCAGAGCATCAAAATCTGATCGGGAAATCTCCATTTCCATTTCTCAACATTCCTTTGTAAACCGATTAGAAGAGTTTTTGGGTATGGAGATAACACCTTGCAGAAAAACTGGCAATTCTCGTTACCTTCCTGAGTGCTCTATTGACATTTCAAGAAGAAATTACATTTTATACGCTTTTAAGGTTGAAAGGTTTGACATAATTAACAACTTAATTTGTAAATCATATAATTTGAAATACCTCCACAGACTTTGTATCTTTTTCCCGACGTTGGATGTTCCCACTGAGTTGATTTTGTCAAATGACTATAAAAATTAAATTTTTATTAAGAATAAGGTAAGCAAATGTTTAAATTGTCACAAATCAATTGAGCGAGACCAACAATAAAACGTCCAATATCATTGTTTACATTAAGAAAAAATTAAAAGCGAGTTTGTAGGACGTTATGTTCGACAAAAATTTATACAGAAAAGGAAAAATGTACCTTATGAATTAATATAAATATCTTTTTCTCAAAAACCCTCTAATTTATAACGATCACAACTCAGTTCCTATACTGGAACCTGCATCCGTAAGCCGGACAAAATGTTTTGCAACAGATCCTTTCATAAAACTAGGTTGAAATCACGAATTAAGCTACGGGAAAAGACTCACTTCGCATAATAGATCCTTCCATCGTCCATTGTTCTTATTTCCCATCCAGGCGGCAAAAAGTGTTCCTCTGGGTTTTTAAACTCGCTGGTTTCTTCAAACACCAACCCGCCATCCTTGGCAGCCATTTTGTACCTTCGGCCGACAAAGGACTGGGGCGGCCCTGAAGCAATACAGGCAACCCACGGCCGCAGGGGGGGGGGAGTGATAGGACGTGGTAAATAGGGTAAAGTACGTCAAATAAAGAAAAAAAGCGAAAAAAAAAATCACAGGAACAACAATGGGGAAACAGTGGGAAAGATTGTTATTATCAAAGGCTGAACATACATTGAGCTCTGTCCTTTTTAAGAGGAGATGTGTACTGAACATTCATTAATACTTCGAAAAAACTTCCCCCCTAAATTAACCATTGTCAGCACCCCTAAAGTTGAGTTTCATTCCACCCACCAGGTCGAGAGATGTAATTACCCTGTGATGAGGGTGTAGAAGCTGGCTGTCTCATTTAAGGGTGCAAATTGAGGAAACAGATGGAGTAAAGGGAAAGTTTTTTTTAGTCCCTAATCTTCATTCTTTTGAAGTCAACTGAGGCTTGAGTCATATTAGATCACTTTATCTTTGCAGTTTGATTCATACTAAACAACTCCAGTTATACAATGTGACTCTTTTCTTCATATGAAATTCCCTTCTTGGGGTACAATTTCTCAACACATCCTTCTTTCAAGGTTAAAAACTTATACCCAAAAGTACCCTTTCCTTTGAGTTTCAGACAACAAAACATGATGGTTTAATCAGTGGAAAGGGAGGAAAGATAGAAAGGAACAGAAGCCACAGTTTAAAAAGAAAGGGACAAATGACACTGGACTTGAGAGAAAAATGATGAAACTACATGTAAAATTCCAATGTTCAGTTTGTTTAATACAACCTTACAACCAAAGTACATAACTGTACATGGTGAAAATTTAATAACCCTTCTGCTGGCTGTTAAGTAAATGACACTTCAACCTTAGAGAAAGTAATAAAATTAAATTGAAATGTAAAATTGCTAAAAACTAAAAGCGAAGCAAAAATGGAATATTTACCTTATGGACTAAATTTTCTTAAATACAATGGTAAGAACGCTGACAGGGTTCTTACTCAAACAAATAAAACCTGCTATGCATGTTACTTAAGTCCATCTTACAGTTTGCAGAAAATGATATGTTCCATGAGAACATTTTCTACAAACCCAAAATAACTCATTCACTCCAGCAGACAGTCTGTGACCAATAAGCAATTTTTCCAATATAAGTTCAGTTTTAAACTAAGAATTGATGAGAAAGACCAGGGAATATTGTTTGATATCACAAAAAATTATCATGGCTAAACTCATACAAAATGTATGGCGGACAGTGCAGAGAATTGATATTTGATGTTTGGTATTGGGAGTAAAGTTTTGAGACACCAGCATAATTTTCTCAACAATCACCAACAACACAATAAAATTCACAACATTTGCAAACAGATCTAAGTATACTAATTTACATAATTAGCACCTTTTAAGGTAAAGCATTTCTGCACTGACCTAGAGTAACCTTGGAACAGTACCAGCCTAATGGTTATAGCATACCACATATGCTTCTTTGATATGCCTTTCACACCTAAATATCCATGCTGATATAATGAATGGAAATTACCTAAACTTGCTAAGCAACACAATGTGCTTCACAAGAATGACATTTTGTTAACCTTTCAACCCTCATGGGAGTGCCAATTTGTTGATGGTGATATTTTTGCTGTCAACACTTATTTAAGCAAACATATGGAAACACCAAAAATTGAACAGTGACCTTGTTGTCAAAAATAAGGCAATCTGTAGTTGAATGGAACAACTACAGGTTACCAGTAACATACTATCTGCTCAAAGTGCACTTATCTGCTGACAAAATCTAGCATTTACACATCAACGCCTATGTGCTCTAAATATTACCTTCTGCGAGTTACTTTAGATTAAACAGAATTAATGTGCCTCCAAACCAGCTAGCTTAGCCTGCAATATCAAACCCTTGGTTTTTGCTTTTCAGTTGGTCTGTGGGACAAAACACCTCTAAGAGAAACTATTTGCAACAACAAAATATTGCTGATCATGCCGCTTGGATTTCTAGAGTTCTGTTTGTAAGAAGCTGGCAGGATTTCTAGAGTTCAACAGTTAAGAATAACTACATGTACAGTACCACTCATATATATGTTAGCAAGCAGATGCATGTCATACACTCAGGCACAGAACATCAGATGCGCACACACATTTTTTTTATATTTCTAAAAACTTCCCCTCCATTAAATCTGTTATTACCCTCTAGTCCAAAGAGTGAACAAATACATGTGTGAATCTTACACTTAAAATAAACTTGTTAAAAAACTTACTAATGTTTCTGTACAAAATGTGAGTATGATAAAGAACCATGGTTATATTACAAGTGTATGATGGTAAAATAAGTGGGCAGTATTCATGCATATGTACATATGGTCTTTGCAAGAAACATTTAAGATTGTATCATGATGGTTAGCAATAATAATAATAATAATAATAATAATAATAATAATTAACACCTTTCCCTCCCTCTCTTTAATAACCAAAAAAAGTAATCCTCGACACTGACTTGATTTCACTTAGGAAATGAGAATTGGAGAATTCCTAGAAAAGAGGAGATAAACAGTGTTACAAATATTTGTTATTTCTGTGATGATTACTACAATATCATCAATACAACTACTGTTATCAATATTATCATCATTGTCTCTGATGAAATGCACAGACCACACATCCTTTACTGTTCTTTAGATGTGAATTAGACTTTTTAACAAGTGTAATTCCATACCGGCTAAAAGAGGACTCCTCAAATGCCATATCCATGGGTTCCATTTCAAACTGTTCATCTTCATCAGACTGGTATTGAGCAATGGACCTGTTTTAAATTTCAACTTTGATCAGTTCTTTATGAATGATGAGAAGAATAACAATTCTTACAATAGAGAAACAATTAGGAGGATGTGTATTTTCAAGTTTCCAGTAGCTCACTTTGTTTACCCCAATACTCTAGCAAAGGCATTGTTTTTCCTTTCTCTTAAGAGGATTGCTGGTCTCAGAAGAATTTCAAGCAAAGTTTAGGCACAGTCTTGGAAGGTAAAGAGATTATCTAGAGATACGAGGTTGCTTCAGACTGTTTGGATAAAGTTCTACTTCATATCTGTGATAGAAACTATTCTGTCCCTACATTTCCTGAATTAAAACAGGAGACTTCATAATAACAAGACAAATATGGGGTTTCAGTAGATTATGGTCCTCAGCCTCTAAACAGTACTGTAGAACTAAAGATTTTCCTCTACAAAATGTGCTTCCTACCTTGTTGCTCTACATGTAAAGAACAATATTCTCTTCATTTTCTTGTTGTAGAAGAAATAGTTGAAAGACCAGAGGCTTCCTTCCTCACCATAAGGGTCTGAGTCAAGATCAGGATTGTAGCTAGACATAAATAAAAAAAAAATTTCCAAAATTACAAACAACTCAAATAACTTGACTTCAGTAATAATGTATTTGGCACCTCTTTGGTAATTGGGAATGCCTAAACAAATTGGATAGGTAATATGTTGAACAAAAGTTTGTTTATTAGTTAGCTAGTAAGTGGCAAATCAACTGGCCAATTACAAAAAAAACAGTGTGGTGACTGAACTTAAGACTGCTGTGAAACAAATGGCTGTGAGAGAAAGTGTGAAAAGTTAGAAACTGCATGAACCTCTAAATTTTAAATCCAGCACACTTTCACCACCTACATTTTGTACCTACCATAAAAATACATTCAAGTTCAGTAGTCATGAACCCTTAACATCTAACTAAATATTTTGGCATCAAGTGGTAAAATCACAATATAAATATGAACTTTACTATAATCCATGCAATTACCTGAATATGTCACACTCCACCAGATTAATCTCTTCATCAATTGCGCTCCACAATCCTGCCCTGAGAGCAACATATGTCTCACCATTAATGGCAGACAGATTCCCATTGATTGCATCTACCACCAATTGAAGGTTTGGTTCACGCGAGAACTCATGAGACTTCACATTACTGAAATCATAATCTGGGTTAAATGATGCATTCAGGGTGGAAATCAAATAGAACAACATCTTGCGACTGATTGTGTCACACAGCACAGCTTCCTCTTGACTTCCTGTGCTCAGCCTTCTCTGCCGTGCACTAGTAAGGACTGCAGGGTAATTGCTGTTGGTAGGTGATATGCTTGCTGAGTGTGTAGTTTGTGGTGGTGACAAGGCCTGAAGTTCATGAGGGGCACATCCTTCATTCAGACTCTTATATAGTTTTTTGTCACTACCAGCCATCTTACAAGAGTAACTTTCAATTCTAGGAATAAAATACATTCATAAATATCATATCCTTTAGTATATGGCTTCACACAATAAAGGACACAGGCCTTTAACATTGCCTTCCAATCAATTTGACAAACAGTCTTACTGGAACTCTGACAGTTCCCTTACATCATCAACCATTGTCAGATTTGTGGATTCCTTCCTGGTTATGTCTAAAGGTGTCAACCTGTTACTGTGGGGTCCTGCCACCAAGACCATTTAAATAGAGAATGGATTGTCTAATTTTAATGGGGGTGGGTTAACAGTCCGAACCCAACCCCCAGCCTGGAGCACCAGGGGATCACACTTTGTCTGGTCTCTACCCTTCGACCTGTTCGGCATGGGTGACCCTACCAGGAGTTCAAGACTCCAGCCGACATAGCTCTAGGGGTTACTGAGACACACAAACCATCCCACCGCGATAAGGTGGTGACCCTTGGGATGGAGTTACAAAATCTGGTTGTCAAAAGTACAAGTGGTCCTGCAGTTACTGTAGTTTAGTTAGTGATACAGATACAATGATGTCTAAGAGTGTTGTTGACAAACTGAAAAAGATTTCTCTATACTGACAAGCAGCATTCCTGTCAGTTGCTGATTTGTAGGTACAGTCGCTTAACCCTCTGACGCCTCAGAGTGACTACCATCTAATTTTCTCCGCATAAAATTACCTCTAAATCAAACTGAAGGGTCTAACGTCATACTAAAGGAAATGATCACCAACTAAACCTCTTGACTAATAAACAAATTCTCCTTATCAGTGCCTTACAAAATTTACAGAGAAAAGTATTGAAAATAAGTATACTGATGTTTCTAGGCCATTAGTCTCTAACATGAAAAATCTGTATTTATGTTGGAAGTGACAAACCGACATAGGTATACTACAAACCAACAGAATTAGCAATTGACAGGTAGTAAGAGCCACAATTGTGTAGCGCAGAGATTATTTTTGATTCAGAGTTTGGCAGATTTTTGGGATAGTCCTTGATCAGCATGTTAAATAAATTTAGGTGGAAAGCCTCACAAAATGCAGCATTAAATTTATTCTCCTCAATCAAATGAAAATCATCACATGCAAATCAAAAGTCAATTCAAGTTCCCAGCCAAAATTTTATTAGTCTCGAGCCAATAAAATTTGTTTCTAAAAAGAACTTAAAAATTGCAATTCCGCAAGAAAACTCAGGCGCTCCAAAACTTTCTTTCTCTAAGAGCTATGTCAGCTGAAGTCTTGAAGGAAATTTTCGTGTACCAGTATCTACAGCTTCAGATAGTTAAGGTTGAAATAACACTAAAAATACAGCGAGAGTGGACAAATATTACACCATAAAGTGATCCCCGACACTAGAGTTAGTGAATGACTGTCAGCTGATATGGAATATGCTGAGCCTCGCAAATTTATTACGACCTTCGAAGTTTATTTTTTCTGGATCAGATAATTTCGCTGTTCATGGCTAATGGCTTATCGACACTGAGTAAACTTATGACAATCTCAAATGTGTAGGGTAAGCTTGGAAATACAAATATGGTTCAAGCGAAGAATTACCGAACGGAATTAGATACAAAAAATTTAAATACATTTCAAAACAGAGATAAACAACAAACTGTAGACGTATTCATTATCTAGATACCTTACCTGCCATCAATTTGGCTGTCTCCCTTGTCCGTGGAAATGGCTGCACTTAGAGTGTCCAAACGGGCGTTTTCCAAGAGCTTCATATTGTTTTCACCAACTCGACCTTAGGACTGATTAACTTTTTCTTTCAAGGAGAGAAATTTTGTTTATTCTCGTACCTGTTTACCAACCTTCGCTTCGTATAAGCTTAATAAAGTCTCTGTCGATGTAAAATGGGCTTGCTATGCGAACTAATAATCGACTTCTTCTTGTAAAAGGGTTGACGTCCGGGTTTTCGTCCACTCTGGGCGCCAATTTTTTCCACAAAGAAACAGAGGAAGGGTGAACTGTCGCTTGGATGCATGTAGAAGACTTCCTTCTAAGCTCAAAAACTGCTTGACTTAACTCACAATTACGTGATCTGATACTAAAACACTTTTTTTAAACTAAACTGCAGCTATTTAGATGCTAAAATACTGAGAAAAGCGAGGAGAAGATGCTTTTGTCAGAGCACAAGATGGCGGGTTCATAAACAACAAATGTCTAGCACTGAAACCGAAAGATGACGTCATAGTTCCTAAAGTAGGATTTAGGAAAAAAAGGATGAAAGGGAAAAAAGGAAATGAGATGAGGCAGAGAGAAACGATAAATCCAACAACAAACCAAATACAAACGTTGTTATGAGGAAAGTGAGAACTTTTTCTGCTTTCATACTGAGTTAGAAGTTCATTGTCACATTCGAAAATTATTACGTGATTAGTACTAATTGGAACTAATTACATACGAAGGTTTTGTCGATTGTACTTCGGGATTGAATCGGCATTAAATCGACATCGAGCAAAACGAGTCAAGAAATTTGAAATAGAGGAAACGGAAGGCCACGATAGAGGAAAACAAGAGCACCCTCGAAGATTACTGGATCAGTCGCAGCTATCAAAAGAAGTACGAGCTAAACTCAGCGGAGGTTGTGAAGCGCCTGACTAGTGAAGGGTCCCATAAAACTGCGCACTCAAACAGAACTAGAGCGGCCAGAGAAATGGGATTCGTGAACAGCTTTGTTTGGAGAGGATGGTAATCAGTAACAATAGCAGAAAATAGTAAAGTTCTGAAGTTTACCACGTGACGTACATTAGCTCTGCTGCCAGTTGTTTCTAATCGGAAATTATTTTTTTTACAAATAGTGGGCGGCGGGTGATACTTTTGAGACGGATATGAACCAGACTATACAAAGAAGTAACAAATTGATTTAGACTCAGCAGTACAATTCGTTTCAGACCTATAAGTAAAGAAGGAAAAACGACTCGTAAACTGGATTTTATTTTTTTCCGTCCGTTTATTATAAAATGAGGTATACAATGTGCAACAATGGGATAGCCACTTGCATTTTTATTAGGCTAAACAGTAAACTCTGAGGAAGTTGCATTGTGCGATTCTTGGGAAAAGTGGTTTATATTGACTCCCTGATCTTCAACATAGTCAGAATGTTCCTTCCTTGCCTACTGAGGTATTTTACTGAATCAATTTGATGTTAAGTGATGATCTTCATTCTCACAAATAGAATACTTTTTTAAATTAAAGTTTTAATTCACTGCAGCGGCCATTGCTAATAATGTTAAAGGATTTGTCTCCCAAGCTAACTATTCATTCTCAAAGGAAAGAACACCATGTTTCGAGAAGACTTAGCTTAAGTCATCAGGAGACTGCTACAGGGAACAGGTTAATGATTTGCCGAGTGATGGTCAGTACACAGGGACCGCACAGAGAAAGGGGCTGGGGAGGGGAGGGGGCTTTTGCTAAAATTAAACAAAAAATAGTTTAACAAAAATAACGAAGCCAAAAATAGCCCCCCCCCTCCCCCACTCAAAAACTTGCTGCGCGGTCCCTGATACAATAAGTCAAGCAGCGAAAAATAAATCTTCATATGCTTATTGCAAATCAGCGATTAAAATGGATCACATATCAACTAGTTGGATAGACTACTTATCTAGTATGGTCGTCTGCAGGGACTGTTCTCGTGGTGATGCTGATCTGTTCGCCCGATGTAATTTCCTCTGGATCCCTTGCATCATCTGGTTGGATTTGATTACATCCTTTATTCACTTTTCTTTCTTGTCTAGCTTCAATTCTCACAGTCATGACTCTTTGTCTAAATCTAAACAATTTCCCCTCATTTTCTTCAGCTTCTTGAGGAGTTTTTCCCAACAACATCTCGATAAAAGCAACTCTAAAATGTCTATTTCGAACTGTGTAAATAATTGGATTGACAACGGAATTAAGAGTCACTATCCCGAGACAAAATTGACGAGCGGACATCTTAACTTCATCCGAGAATCTTTTCTCGAATATAAACCACGTGAAATTAAGGAAAGTAAATGGGACCAGGAAAAAAAGTATAACTATCACAATTAAAAGGGTGGTTGATTTTAAGGCTTTCTTCTCTCTTTTAAATTTAGCTTTTGCTTCCATAGAAACTTGGTGGGTAAGAATACTTTTTTCGTGACGACGGGCCTGTTTATAGACCAGAACCTGAAATATAACAATCCAAGAAAACACTATGATCTCTAAAATGGCGAACGTCATCATAGTGTTTGGCAAAATGAAATAGAGAATGACTGCTGTGATCCAGGTAAGAAACGATGAAACTATAACGCTGGTATTTGTGAGCACCTCGTTGTGTCTAAGAGAGTACTTTATGGTGAGGTAGCGTTCTCCACTGATCAGAATCAGGTGGCACATAGATATCAAGCTAACTTCCATAAAAGAGAAGCTAAACGCCAAATTAACTTCGCACACTTCGTGGAAATCTTTACCTTGAAGCAGAAAAATCGCCAGGGTTGCATTCAGGGGTTGAACCAGCACGCCATTTAGTACATTAGTGAGTGCGAAACACGCCAGCATGATGTTTGAGTGTGTTTGAAGTCTTCGTTTTACCTTCACGGCTAAAATGACTAATCCGTTAAAAAAGCAGGTCAAAGGACAAGCAACGAAACTCAGAACGGCTGCTGCGATGAGAAAGTTGCGAGTAAGTTCGGAAGAAAAATCATATCGCCGAAGAATGGTTTGAGGAACTAATGAGCTGTTGCAATTGTTTCCAAGGCCAACAGAGGAAGAGTAATTCATTTTCGATATGCCGTTCCTCAGTTGATGTCCCAACTTCTTGATTAACTTCGAAAAGGGCCAAATTTCGTTTTGGATCTCTTTCAACTGTTAGTCCACCTTTAAATGGGCCAAAATTTCAATATGCCCCGTAAACAATCCACGTATCGCTGAATAGACTCAGGATGGTACCTACATTTATTTTTAAAATAGAAGTGAGTGGTTCAATTACCCGATGAAATTTTCAGCTCACCTAGCCGTCAGATGAACAGAAATAACTATGTAACATCCGCTCTTTTATTTTTGGAGAGCGGGTGACTTCAAAAGTTTGACGATTGAACCGAGTTTGCTTTCATTTGAGAGAATTCGGCATAATTCAACTGGGTGTCATTGTTGAGAGAGCCGGAGAGGTCAATAAATCATGAAATTAAAAGCGTTTAAAAGCATTCCGTGCGAGTTTTGCCACTTTAGGCATCTGTTGCAAAATGTTTTATAATGATGAGACTTAAGTTAAAATGAACGCAAAGGAAAGCTTTGCGTCATCAAAAGTCGGGGCTTGTCGAATTGGTCATTGATTTTCACGAGCCCTCTTGCTTTGGTAGATACTTCTTCTAAATTTGGAGAATTTTTGCTTCTGATGTAAATGTAAAGATAGGTTTTTACTTGTTTATTGAAAATTAATGATAAAAATGTCACTTTTGCATTGTATTTTCTTTTTTCTTAGGCATATTTTTTACTAGTGACCTTCTATACTTGTAATTTCTAGAAATATATTACAACAGAGAGAAAAATAATAATAATAAAAATAGTTAAAACGGATCGCATGTAAACCTTGTTAGCAGTTGCATTTGGAGAGACAACTTATCTTGTGGAAATAAGATTTGTAATTACCCACTAAAATATTCAATCAGCGTGCCGCTTGATGAACAGGGATGAATTGTTAAATCCCTTCTTTTATTGGTTGAGAGCCGGTGACTTCAAAATATTTGCGACTGGACTAAGTTTGCTTTTATTTCGGTTGGGTGTTTTTTTTTTAAGAGGGCCGGTGAAGTCATTACATCATACAACGTCAAGAAAATATCAACTGCTCTTGACAGCGGTTGAAAGTATTTCATGTCAGTTTTGCCACATTAGGAATCTGTTCCCAAAAGTTATAATTACGGTGATGAAAAATAAATAAATGAATAAAAATGAACGTAAAGGAAAGCATAGCGGTAACAAAAGTCAAGGCTTCCTTGAAGTAGTCGCTTTGTTTCGACGAGCCTCCGTGACCAAAGCGTTTGAAAAATTAAGTTGGGAAGAACAAATTACGGAAGGCAATAAAGTTGAAAACAATGCTTTAAATGAAAACTGAACTTAGATCCTTACACTTGTCAAAGACAAACTTAGCATTTTGGCGGCATATTATTTCTTCTTTTTATCACTCCTAGAATTGAAACGAATCGAAACCAAGCTTGTTTTGTAAAAGTCTAATCTTCGATTTCTTTCAAGTGCATGATTAATTCAAACTGAAAGTTAGTAATCCGCATTTTCCGAACTGTTGCAAAAGGAATTCGAATTTTGTGTTCCAAAGTCGTTCAAAGAAAAGTTAGAATGAGTCTGTCTTCTTGCGCTGTTTAATTCTAGCGCAACAACTGTTTCAGTTTATCAAAAGCTGTCTTTGATCCTTGCTGCCTTGAAACGAAACTCTTGGTGCAGTGTATATCAGCTTTCAGTTATAATGCAAAGTTTTTTAGCGGACAAACAAATACAGCTTCATCTCCATGTTCTGTCAGGTAACTTGGTCAACATTCAAATTTATTTACCTTCGATTTCACAGTGAGGTATCACTATATTCACAGACAATAGCAGGTGACTCGAAGCGAAACATATCATCACTATGCGATACTTCTGATACTACACTGGCTTCGTTTTCTCAACAATCACAGAAAATGTGGGTTTTATTTTACAAAGATTAAAGGCAGACTCAGCTCTGCCGCCATGTTTTTTTAACTTTGCGGCTCTCTTCCACGTGGATTAGATATTTAAGGTGAGGAATTATTGCAAGAAATTCAGTTTTTATGTGTATTCGAAACGCTATTTATAGATATGTCAAACAATCCGATATAATCATTAAAACGGGGCTAATTTGCGAGATTAGAAACAAATTTCCATTTGCTATTAACTGAAAATCAACCCATTAGCTGCTTATTTCCATAAAGCGAGAAAAAAGCTGTTAGCTAATAAAATATTCCCAAGAAAATCTACTTCTGATAAGCGTCAAGCTCTAAGTGCTTGATTTTTTTAAAAACAGGCTGAGAGTTTTTGCCAAGTTCCATTCGTTTCGTTTGAGGCTTTCACTGACGAGTATAGCTACAGAGGTTGCCTTTTAATATTCTTGGTGCTAAAATCCCAAGTGGAGTTTCATACCTTTTGAATCGGTCCTTGTCAAAGGCATGTTAAGTGCCTCTTAAGTCTGTGCACCTTTGAAAATTGAATTCGTTTGGGTACCTTTCAGATTTCAAACCGACCAAAAATTAGCCGTCGGTTACTTAGTCACTTGATTTGGAGAATATTTTGAAACAGTTTTGGTCGTGAATGGTCGCCACTTGATGTGAATTCTCCCTTTAAGATATAGCTGTCTGTTTCAAACTCTTACAGAAAGAATGAAAAATCTGTTTAGTTTTTCCAACTGAAGTCCTATATCATTCGTGATCGCTCTTGATTGCTGGTGAAATCAAATGTCGTTTTCGCGCGGACATTTTAGTAGGCTTAAAGCCTTTCAATTTTCGAATCAGTATTTGCAATCTCTTTGTTTATTTCTCATTCCCTTTTCAGTTTGGTGAATATTCGGCCAAAACTGACCATCTCAACTTCAAGGCGAAGATGAATGAATCTTCTTCGATGGGGACTAAAAACATTTTATACAACTTATTCCCCAGACGTGATTCTTCGCGATCTTCCTCTCCTGATGCGGTTGACATATCCTTCTCACTACAGCAGTTGTTCTCAGCCTCGTTGCCTGTCCTTCGACCTGTCTTTATAAATGTGTCGGATATTTTGATCGTGAAAACAAAACAACGGCTCCAAACACGCTCGAAAATTTTGTCGGCATGCTTAGCACTCACTGATTTACTGACTGGCCTGATTCTTCAACCCGCTTGTTTGGAACTAAGCCTGATCTGTCTGCTGCAAGGCAAAGATAAGACTGACCTCTGTAAAGTTGATTTAGTGTTTACCAGCTCGTTCATTTTGTTTTGGTTCGCGTCAGTTTGTCACCTGGTTATAATGACCTGTGAACAATATGGGACGATAAAATGTTCCTTTACACGTAACAAGCTACTCGCAAAAGCTCTTATTTTATACCTTGGACTGCATCAATCGTCATGTTGATTCTCTTGTCTCAATCACTATTCCATACAGTCGCAACTTTCAAGGCAGCATTGTTGGGTTCAGTCATCTTCCTTAAAGTTTTCATCTTTAAGCAGGCCCACCGCCACGAAAAAGACACTCTGACCCATCAAATCTCTAGCTATATAGAAGCCCAAAAATTCCAAAAAGAGAAAAAAGCCCTAAAAACAACTACAATAATGATACTGAGGACTTTTCTGTATTTCCTTTTGCCCTCTGCTTTCGCCCTTGCATGAAATTCTCTCAGATGGAAAAAGACTCGAACAACAATTCGTCGTTTTATCGTTGCGATGGTAAATTCGAATTCATTTCGAGTTGCATTTATTGAGTTGCTGCTTTCGAGAATGAAATTTTCAAGAAGCTGAGGAAAAAGAGAGCAAACTATTTAGATTCAGACGGAACGGAAGAGAGAGACCAAATCCGAACATCTGCTTCAAAAGGTTACGTGAGTATTTAGGCCATCGTCGCCACGCAACAGTCACTGTAAATAATTATATAAAGGCTTTCTCTCCAAATAAATCGACTTTCGAAGCAGGGAGAATAAGGAAATACCACTGTATACACTGTACTATGCAAGAGTCTCAGGAAGCTCTGGGGTCTTGAATTTATTAGTGATGGTCCGAGTCGAAGGGGAGAGGGGAAGGGGGTGACAATTTGGCAGCGACTTTTGATAAAGTCCACCAGAGAGCGGCGAGCAATTTGTCCGTTTGCAACAACATTTGGATGTTAGGAGTAGCTATACCCAAGTGAATGTCAGATTTAAAAGTTAGGGAGTGATTACAATTAGTCTTTGGCTCTCAAGATCAATACCAACCATACAGTTCAAAAGTCAGGAAAGGACAATACGTCAGCGAGTGTCACAATCAAAAGTCAGGGGAGGGGGCTTGAATTGTTTCAATGAGCCCGAAAATCAGTACCAAGGGAGTAGCAATTTGTTTCCCGGTTTCCATGTCAAAGGACAGTGGAGAGGAAATTGTCGATGACGATCAGAATCAAACGTTAGAGGTATAAAAATGTTTTAAAACAATGTGTTTCTGTTTGTTTTAATTTTCTTAACTTTATTGACTAATCCACTATACACCGAGCACTTTTTCATTTTCTTTTTATTAATTGTATGTCATAAAACAGTTGACCATCATATAGTCTTCCAAGATCAGTTCTATAAATTGCTCCATGTTAACTTTACTTTCCATGATTTTCCTTTACAGGCATGTTCTCTTGGCGGGCGCTAATTGCAAACCTTCTGAATTTTCGGTATGGTCTTCGTCTCACGAGTCCGAATTTCCTAACTTTAAAGACACTGGGCAAAGCTTTAAATAAACAACAGTTTGCCAAGGCTCATAAGACAAATGCAAGTCCTTCACTGCAATTACCCGAGTGATGGAAAAGCTAGTGTTAATTATACAAGTTAATTAGTAAGTTTTTTTAATTTGTTCCAACAATTTCCATAAATGTTTTTTTATCTAAACAGCACGTATTGCTCGCAGGGTATCTTGGCTCCACTTTATAAAATGATTTTGGCAATTAATTTTATATGTGGATGTGGAAATTACTGCAAGAATAAAAGAAAAGTAAGATGTTGAGTGATGCTAATGGCATGATAGAATTGAAATCTTCGGCATAATTGCTTTTCGTTGGCTGCCGTGCGCTTTAATATTTGCGCTTTGGAAGGGACTAGCACAATGAAACAGCGCTTTGACTTACTTCATGAACTCGGGTGATCTTGCGATTACGTTTTCGAACTCTGAATAAGATAAGAATCCATCCTCATCAATATCGGCCTCTTTTAGTAACTTGAAGGAAGAATAAACATGAGATAAATATTATTTTTTGGCTGTCGTCACTGTAATCGCATGCACCTGCCCAACATAAATTCGTTGAAAAAAACAAAACAAAACTAAAGATTGGCAAACGAAGGCTTTGACTGAAAACACTTCATTCGTCGTTTTGGGCGAAGAACATTTTTAGGAAGAGAGATGAATTGATTTATGGATTTAAAGTTAGCAAGTAATGCGTGAAATTTTGAATATAATACCTCATCTGAAACAAACTCCATCTCTTCATCAGTAAGTTCCTTTGCTGTGATAGCTCTCAAGGTTTGTTTGAGATCTTCCTTGCCGAGGTAATCATCTTGGTCAAAATCTCGAGAAAAAGAAAGAAAGGAAGTGAATAAGGAAAAAGGATTATGCACTTCTAGGAAACAAAATACCCATCGAATGAAAGAGAGAAAGTGTGACAGCCCGGTTATAACTAAAACATTCAAATGAAAATAGCCACGAAGGGTAAATTTAGAAACGTAGTTAATTAAAGAGAAGATCTTTACCAAATATCCTGAATGCATACTTTGCTTTGAGCTCTATAGGAGCCTGTGAAAACCAAAAAAAAGGAAAAAGTTTATTGCATCGTGCCTCTGCTCCAAAGGAGAAAAATCGATCATATAAACATTTAGATCTTGATTTGACTGGCTTTCATATTCATTTGTTGCTATGGATGTAGAATCTGGGTTAGTGTTAATAGACTCTTCAATAGTGCTGTGAGAAACTCGACCCTGTTCGACTAATCAAATTGCAGAGGTGACGTCTCATCGCGACAATCAAAAAATCATTTCTGTGTTCAAATTCGCCTGGTCCAAACAATTTCTTTTCAATGTCTCGAAACGATCGCTTTTAAGGAACATTCCACTGAGGTTTGCTGCACCTTCGCTCTCCTTATTCCAATTATCATCAGCCGTACGCGTTTATGTTACCGTCATGATGGTACTAAGCTGTAATAGTACTCCAAAATAGATACGTCTACAAAGAAAACTTACAGATTCACTGAGCACTGACATCATGTTTAAGAAATCGTCGAATGTCAGGCTGCCATCTCCACTAGGGGAAAACACTTCACAGATTCGTCGCCTGAAGGGATTCTCCTATTATTTGAAAGAAATATTAATATAATATCTGGAATCTTGAAAAATTAACATACCAAATTTAGCTCAGGAGCATTCATGATCGACATGGAGAACTTTGGTCAGTAAGTCAAACGTCGGGCATGCGAAATTGATTCAACTTTGGCCAGCCACGCGCCAAATAAAATTTTAAAGGAACCTTCGACAAAAAAAAGGGATACACAAGAACTATGAACGCAAAGTTTATCCAAAGTTTATTCGTTAACTAAGACAACTTGGATTTTACAACCCGAAAGCACGATTTTGGGCCTCTATTTTGGCCGCCTTTCAGATTTTCTAACGTTCGCGCACGTGCAGATGCAGTTTAAACCAGTTCTGTGTACTTTGTTTGTAATTCATCATATTTAAATCAGAGGACGAAAAATAACGGCTCTCAAAAAAAAATTAAATAATCATAAAAACTGAACTAGTGGCTTGAAAAACATTTGCCATATAAGACCCCCTTCCCTCCCCCCGCCGGTTAATTCATTGTTACTTATTGGCTCACCTTGAGTTCTGGTAGTTGCTGGAGAAATTTGTATTTCAGTTTTGGCTGAACATCAAGTTCTGTAAAATCTTCTGGTATAAGGTCTGTATTTAAATCTCGATATCGCCGGTGAATCCTGGTAATGAATGAACTTGTGATTTTTAAGAGAATTACAATTATAAGAGAATTATAACAACAACACTCGACCACGACAACAACAGGAACAACACGAACAACAAATACATCCGAACTTTTCTCTATCTCAAGTGATTTTGATACATTCGAATGAAAGAGAGTCAGCTCTCCTGATACGACTAGCTTTGAAAACTACATGGCTGCGATTCAACAACAGAGCTGCAGTGATCCACGTTCATTTATAACTGAAACTGAGTTTGCGAGGATAAACACAATCCGAAAAAGAACAACAATGGTTAATTTTAGGTGAAGAGACCAGTGAAGATGCCGAATGAGAGAACTGGAAAATGTTTGCTAAATTTTCTTAATTAATGTGATGATAGAAATATGGCTTTCTCACTGATCATTTGAAATTATAATGCGCTCTGCCTTCCCCACATCACAAGTGACCATACCAACTGAAAACACTAAATGAAGATTGAAAAGTATTAATCGCAAATGATGGTATGAGCCTACATTGAATTCTAACGCAAACAGTCCATAAGGTGCGATTGTACAAATCATTTATAAATTAAAATAAAATCAGTTGAAACACATACCTTAAAATATCAGCCCGATTGAAGTATGTACAGTCCTAAACGATAAAAATAACAAAAATAGGTTATTAAGATATCGGGAATGATGATTCCGCGAGGAATCGCTTAAAATGAAATAATGACATGCGAATTTATAAACCTGATAGTCTTCGAGCTGATCTTCTGTAAAAGCTGCTTGCTTGTTTCCCATATCTCGAAAATAAATTAATTACACTTGAGGTTAAAGTGAAATATTTTTTCCGCGTTTTGTTGACGGACAGGCGAGATTTTTTGCTTCAAAACAAGGCGATTTATGATAAATTTAGAGATTTTGCTTGGAATCGCAGTCCTACACCTGTTCATGTATTACACACAAGAAAAATTCAATAAACAAAACAAGTGATTGTATTGGTCGTCCTTTTAAAAAACTATGTGGTTTGAATTTGTTTTTGTGTTTGGAATACCCTTTATGCGTTCAGCATACAACAAGCACTGATTTGACCTCATTCCCGCTGTTACAACCTCATTTTACAACAAGTTGTTAATAATTGATATTACCCATGTAATAATCACTTTTTTTTTCATTTTACCAAGGTCTGATAACTCTTGTCTTGATGTATACACCACGGGCATATTTAAAAGGTCGCTTAGGGTCACCTTGAGACTGTGATAACAGGGGAAAGAGAAATTGGAGAAAGGTGTTTGTCGTCTTAACACGAGCGTGGGATAAAGAAATAACTCTCAGTCTACATGAAGAATCGAACCACAGACCTTAAGATTCCGCGCTCCGATTCTCTACCACTGAGCCACAGAGACTTAGTGGTGGGCAAATTCACTACGGAAATAGGGACTTTGATTTTAAAGTTTTGATTTTTTCTTTGTCCCACGCTCGTGGCAAGATAAAAAACATCTTACTCCATTTATTTAACGAGCTCAAAATTTACCATATTTCTTATTCTATTCACAAAAAGAAATCAGAAAGCAATTACTACCTACAATGTAAACATAGAGCTCTTGTTCCAGGTTTTGGGGGAGGGGTTGGTTTACTGATGTCACTTTGCACCCATCTATCGAGGCGTTGGTTTCCGTCGATCCTCTTGCAGTCTAAGCTATTTCACTGATAGATTTTTGCATATCTTCTTTTAATAAATTAACAAATCACTTCAGTACAGGTTAGGTGAAGGGGTGAAACCAGAGGAAAGAGGAAAAACGCCAGCGTCACCACGCACTTTAGCATAGGTTTTGAAACGTATGAGACGCTATAGCGCTCGCCCGGAAGAGTTTCATTCGAGTTTCAATTACGGTACTTGGGATGCGGTCTCTCTCTCTCTCTTTTTCTCTCTTGGTTTATTTAAATAGGTTAATTTGGTTTTGTATTGTCACACTGATTTCCAATGATCATTGCACATTTATCCAGATTTTTTTTTCATAATTCTTTTACCCCGGTCCTCTCTCGGTCGATAGCTTGATTGTGAATAGGTATTGCCGAAATCACGCAGGGGGAAAGTTGACTGCGCTAGACCAATAGACGAGCTTTGTTATGTTCTGTGAGTTAGTGCTGCAGCAGTGTCTACAATCTCTGCTCTTATGGAAACCTACAGACTGAAGAAGGTAAACTTCTGTATGTTACCTGAGGTTTTCGCTAGTTTTTGGCACAGTGAAAGGAGTGTGAAAGTTTAAACGGAGCGGTTGCATGGATGCCCGTTTAACTGTATTACATAATTAACCTGCCAATTCCAAGATTATAATTCATAAACCTTCCATTCACTTCGATGTTTTACATTTTTTGCATAGTTATATCTCCAACAAATTTAGGGACGACCTTAGCCAGTCCCCATTTCACCCGCAACCTGTTAGCAGTTATTGAAGAATAGTAAGAATGTTTGTATATACATTTCTTGTGTGATGTAGTTTTCGAACGTCGATCTCCCGGAACATAAAGCTCAAAGGAATCAACTTGGGGCGAACTTTAAAAGATACTAATTCGAAAAGACCGAATCTGAGAAAATTCTAAAATGTAGTCTTTTAATGACTACATACACAATCCGTTGACATGGAAAAGTTGATTTGCTGCCTACGAAAGAGTGAGACCCTCGATCGTATAGCCGTCGATTGCGACGTTGCAGGCATATCGATCACCTTTGTGGATCGGGTGGTGGAGAGGGGGTCAGAGTTCTGAAATAATCGTGGTACCCCTAAATATAGAAGCATCTGAGTGTCCAAAAGCAGCCTTGCTGACTGAGATCCAACAATAGCCTCCATTTGGCGCAAAAATATGCACAGATATTTGTCTGCGGATTACCAGTTCCAGGATGCGAACAGTTTTCTGAGAGGGATGCTTGTGGTATACTGTGAGCCTTGAGGAACAGATAATGTCTAAGGACAAATATACAAGCATATTGTTGCATCAAATGGATTCCATTGAGTTTATTGTCCTAGCTTCCAAAATTTTGTAACACGTGTTACGCAAAAATGTTTACAAACTGCTTAATGTTTGCTCTATGGGATGTTCACTTTGTAGTGTTCTCTGCAGGTACAACTTTATAAACAAAAAAAAGTCTTCTTCTGTTACAACCTCAAAGCACTCGCTCATCTTGAATTAAAATTTTAATAAAGATTGACCCATTATTTAAGTAGACATGGGGTCTGAAAATTGGGCAAAATCACCTAGGGTTTCTCCTTGGATCTGTTCTCTAGTTTTAGCTGTGGAATCAATGGTCATGTGATGCATTAAGACCAATAATTGCATGTGCCAAAGGAAAAGTATTTGATGTATTATGAGCAAAGTTATCTTGGAGTCTTCAATCCATGGCAGCTATCCATGGTTGAGATAGCATATTGCAGGCTGGTGGTTTATGGGCTTGCATGCTTTCTTCATATGAATACCTGACCTAGGTAGAACTTTTAAGGTTACGATGATGGAAACAAGTGTAAGTTGAAACTAAAGAGAGCAGAGGGATAAGAAAAACAAACAACACCACTATGAAAAACAGTAACATGCAATACTAATGTGAGAGAAATGCACAAGCGGCATTACCATAGGGTAGTAAAGGGTAGTGACAATTTTAACATTTTCTCATACCATTTATGACGTGTTTTTTTACCATTTAACTCCCAGGAGCCACTAAAGATTAATTTTGCTTTACAGTATTAAATACACTTGCATTCTCTCCAGAGAAATGGTTTGACTTAATACCAAATTCCTTGAACTGCAGTACTGTAAAGTCTCTTAATACACCATGCAGTCATAACTTGTAAAAACCTTTAATCAATTTCCACATCACTTAATTCAGCTTAACAACATAAGTATTCATAGTAAAGATATAATCCTGAATATCATGCTGATCAATTCCTACGCAGATGAAAACCTACTTAAAGATAAGACACTGCAATATTTGGCTTATTTTGATCTTGGGAGTGGAAGGAGTAAGGTCTATATTGTATTTCTAAAACTCCTGCATTTGTAGCTCTATCTTTCATTAACACTGCATGAGGATTGAGTTACTGTCAGGGTTGCTGAACACTTTTATGAACCTGTTAAGTTTGGGAAACAACATACTACCTATTTAAAATTACTAAATATGAGCAAACAAGAGAATGCCTTTTGCTACTGTAAGAGTTGAAAAAAAGGCTGAGGGGTCAAAGTAGAATCATTTGACCTTGGAGAGTGGTGATTTTGATCCCACATTATTTTGGGTCAATGATTCATATTATGATTCATCAGGACTATTACACTCGATACTTTGTGATCCCTCTTTTGAACTATATTTTGCAAGTCAAGATTTTAAAGTTTTGAACATGAAAATTCATGATCCCTTCATATTTGAGGGATATGATTCATAAGTCATCAGATTCTACCTTCACCTCTGAAAAAATGATAGGGATATCTGCTCCCAGGTGTTAGGAGTTTACTGTTAAAGATGTATATCCCAGCTGCTAATAAGCCCACCTGCAGGCAGGGATTTTGCTATATATATATATATATATCTGCATAATATTTTTTGATATGAACTCTATATATTTTGTGATGTAAGCCAGTTAAGCGACAGAACTATTTTCTTTTTCGTTTTGTTTGTAGAAAAAAAATTATTTCTTCAATGTCTTTGGTGTGCAGGCTTCATGTGCAATGATATGGAACTGACAGTAGTCAACCTAAGGCAAGGTGTGTATACACTGTAAGTTAGAGTAAGGTTTAATATGTTACTTACTGTATTGGAGTGCAAATTGCTCATTACATATCATTTTTATCAGATATGCACACATATGCTAGTGTAGTCAAGTGGTTGGACATTACTTTTTTTCTATTTTGCATAATTTTCATTATGAATATCATGGAAACATCTGATCATTTTTTGACTTTTGTTTGCAAATCTTGCTAGAGTATGACTTCAGTTTATAGTCTGTGGCAAAGGTATCACTAAATTCACTCTGCAGTAAATAATTTTTGTTGAAGTAAAATTCCTATCTCTGTTATGTCTGCAATTATAACCCTTTCCAGCCTAATATCAGTATGCATATTCTCCTTACTGTTCTCCATACATTTCCTAAGGTGCTAACAAGGAGAATTTGTTTAACAGTCAATGGCTTCTTTAGTTGGTGATCATTTCCTTTATTCTCATGACCTTAATCATTAAATTGTGTGATTCAGGGGTAATACTGTAAAGAGAAATTAGATGCTGGTCACTCTTAGGGGCCAAAGGGTCAGGCAATTTGCGTGAAATTGTAATTATAAAAGCCCCACAGTAAACAATCAAGATGTTAGTTAACAATAAAGTTTGATTTGATCTGAAGTAGAAATGAAATGCCTCTGAGATCAATTAAGCTGTCATCATGTTTGGCTGTATTTATCCTTGCTAGTACAATCATCATACAAAATTTCAAGCCAGATCTCAATTGATTTAGAAAAATAATTTGTTTAGTTTTCAGACTGAACAGTCACATACCATAATGATTCAATTTAGCGCCGCTCCTTTCAATAAAAGCCCCCTCTCTGATAAGCCCCCCCTCTTGAATTTGGTTTTTGTGAATAATTGCCCTCATTCTAATTAGCCCACCTATTGAGTAAGCACTCTCATTCCATTAAGCGCCCCTAATAAGTGACCCTATTATATTCCAGAGGTAGATTACTGCTACAAGACATGTACATTGAGATCAACTGTGGTTCATCTTCTTCAATTTTTTACTTAAGACTCATGATTATAAAAACAATGGTCCATGTCTTAGTCTCTCAACTATTATGTCCAAAAAAAATTTCCATTTGAGTGCACAGTTCCTTCAAATGATTGATCTCCTCTTAAAATTTGATTGTTCTAGTGAGGAAGGATCCCAAGGCAACAAGTCTGTTTTCCAGTCTTCTTGATCCTCTTCAAAGAAGCATCAAAGCTTTGTTTTGCACATTCTGCTGTTTCTGGAAAAAAGTAAGCACCCTGTCCCTGATAAGTGCCCTTTTTTGAATAAGTACCATCCCTTGAGTTGCCAATCATTGTCAGTGGTAAATTATAGGTAACAGAAAATAATTTGATGGAATATTAAAGTAAGGAAAGACAGGTAGTTTGTGATGACTGTTTAATAAATTTATTGCAAAATCAGTATCTGATGAGGTTTAATTTGACCATTTATCAATCTGATTGTTAATTAATCTTATTTTTTAAGCTCAGAGAACTTGTACAGAGAGTATTCAGAGACTACAATAACACAGATTTGCCTAAAGTTCAATAATATGTAATATGGTTTGCTTTGATTCTGATGCGAAAAGGCAACTTTTACAAGATCAAAATATCCAAAAAGTGTCAAACATCTGTAAAAGCAAGATTTTTAAGCATAGCAACCAATAATCCTTTAACTCCTAGGAGTAGCCAAAATACCATCCAAGTATTGTAATTTTATGGTATAATCTAACCAACATAAAAACACCACATCCCCACAAACTCGACTACTTTATTAAACAGTGAGTAATGTTCTCAACAAGGAGCAACTCCTTAAAGCAGTAAAATACTTATCATTGATAAACTTAATTAAGCCCAACACAGTCTATATCCTAGCTCACCATTGACACAATCTCACAGCCATCTCCAAAGTTCCTTGAAATGAGAAATCTTCTGCAGTAACTCTCTCTTGGTATAGCTTTCAAAACAGTTGTTGCTCCTGTCAGCAACAACTACTCCTACTACACATAAGTGAGTCTTTATGTGTGTTCTCAAAGTGTTCTGGAACCTTAGAGAAGCTTACAAAAGAGATATTTTAGTAGTATTACATAATAAAATATGCGTGACTTGATGAAATGTTGTAAAATATTCTATGATATGCATGTCAGCATGACTAAGCAGTCTGGGGATTTCCAAAAGCTTATATTTACAAAAACAATTACTCATAACAGTATCGATATAGGCTATTTTCTTTGCATTTAAAATATATTGTCACAGACAGCTGGAAGATGTGCAGAGACTATGAGAATTATCCTTTTCTCAGAGATGGTGTTTGATTGAGCACTAAATTCTCAGCACTAACACAAGAAATATGTGGTAAAGAGTAAAGTGATGTGAATTTGAGATCTTTGGTTGTCAGTACTCACAAAAATGAGCTGATGATTTCCATAACTTTTTAGTTTATTGGAAATGGGGTCCGAGATCAGAATGTTAGGACTTCTGCTTCCAGTTGTGATCAAAAGGGAATTTTTTTCATACAACATAAATCCTCTTTTTTAATGAGAAAGATAATGAGATAGAAAAATATCAATAATAGGATGCTGTTGAAATGGAGTGAAGTTCTTAGAGCAAGTATTGTTGGTAATAAATAAATAGCAAAATGTGTGGGAAATTTATATTTGGATTTTTGAAGGTTTGAAGGTGTTAATCTTTTAGCCTCTAAGGGTGACTAGCATCTGATTTCTCCTTCCAATATCACCCCAGAATTTCTCATTAAGGTCATGAGAATTCAGAAATTGATCACCAAATCAAGAAGTTCTTGATTTTTAAATAATTTCTCCTTGCATGCACCATAGGAAAAATATACAGAGAACAGCATGGAGAATATGTATTCTGATGTTAGAATGTGAAGGGTTAAGTTATAACAATAACATAAAGTCAAAAGGATAAGTTACAACATGGATTTTATTTCAACATAAAATGTTACACAGCTTTAGACAAAACACCAAAGAATCTTAGAAAATGTTTCTTCACTACCAGGTAATGGAAAAACTAGAGTCTGACTGTCATAGCAGCCTGTCCAATTTGTTAATGTATTTACATAACATATCAAAAAATGTTTTTCCTTTTTTTTCACTATACACTACTTGACAAAAACTGTTGCTTTGGCTGAGGTACTGGAAAAATACTTCCCTTAATATTGCCAAAAATTCACATCAACTTGTGGAGGGTATACAATGAAACTAGTTACATCTTTTTTTTTTTTTTTAATTAGATAACATTTCCAACATTTTTTTCAAATGTTATTTCTGTATTTTTGGTTTTGTTGGGATTTTGTTTTCCTTCCTTCTTTTGTATTGGTCTAGAAAGAATAACCATTTATGTACACAAGCCGCCCGTACATTAGATTGGCCTATGTCAGCGGCTTACTTCATAAATAAAAATAACTCATTACGTCACGCAACATTCGAAAACGTTCTTCGACGTTTTGGTAGTTTCAAACCATCTCATTAACTATCGAGCTAAATTGCCAAGGAAGGCTAAAAAACTCTCTAAGATAACAACAAGCAAACATCAATGTTAAATTCACGGGTTCAAAGCTAGGATATTGCTAAGAAAACTTAATTTGTCCGGTGAAAACAGTCAAACTCGTTGTCGATCATGGCCCAATGCTTTCGGAGCAAGCACTTGTACGTGTCCAAAGTATTTGAATTCAAGTTTTCCTAAGTCCCTGAGTTCACTTTTCCAATGGATTGATCTTCAGTACCTTTCCTGGCAGCTTATTTACATGTGACAGGAGCTTTACATATTTGTTCTTGAAGAAGTCTCGCTCGCGGAGAGCTGTAGCTACCTGTTGTTTTAGGCCTTCTAGCTCTTTTTGAAGACTGTCTCGCTCGACTTCCAAGTTATTCTTGGTCTCGATTCTTCGCATCCTTGAATGCTGGGCATATCCTCGGTTTTTCAATGTCCTTCGCCTTTGTTTTACCCGAGCGATTTCTTCCTTCGAAAGCCCTCTGCTTCTCAAAAGATTGTTGATTTCTTTGACAGAGAGCTCTCGTAGCTCTTTCTCTGTAAACAGAGCTTCTTTAGCGCTCATTTCAGTGCTGAAAAAGTATCCTGTGCTCGTAGAACTGCACTCAGATGGAGATGGGCTTGGATTTGATATCTCTGAGGCTACATCGTCCTCTGGAAAATTGCGCGATGAATAAGCCTCGCTCAGCCAGGCGGGCATTTCATCTAAGTCCAGGGTGGTGTCTGGAACACTTTGCGCGGGTTCCTCCTTTCCCTCTGCAGGAATAAACCAGAACTGCTGGATCTGCTCTAAATTCGAGAGATCAAGGTCGCTCAACAATGAATCGCCAGTGAAACTCAGCTTTGAGATATCGTTGCTGTCGTTCGTAGGCATCATCTTGGTAAGACTGTTATTGGGAGTGTAAAATTCTGTGGGATGAGCGGCTTTCAAATCAGATGAGAACGAAACAACAGGATCACCTGTGTACTGACAGTGCTTGATTTACTTTGAATCAGCGTCGAAGCCTTCGAAATAGAAGATAAGATGGAGGACTGAAATTTGTTCGCGGGTATAAAGTGAAGACTTAATCAAAACACGTGCTTTCACTTCGATTGCTGGAGATAAAGTGAGGTGCTTTCACCCAAGCGACCGGTTAAAACCAGTGTAAGAGGGGTTCATGATTGCACCATGCTTGCTCGTAGCTTTTATTTATGTGATGATGTAATGTTGCCAAAAAAAAGTTGATCGTTATCTGACCAATCACAGACCGTAACGGGGGACATGTCCGGGCGGTTGTCAAGACGACGTTGAGGGTCAATGACGAACGGGGAATCCCCTACTAGCTATCGTGACAAGTTTTCGTCAGGTCGACCAGGCTTTTGGTTTATTGCACGAAAAACTCTTAAATTATGCGGAATTTTTTTTTATTTCTGGCGATTCAACAATATGGCTAGTAAATTTTGACTTCATTTCGGATCGAATGAAACAAAGCAAGAGCTGAACTTTGTTTGTAGCTCATAACGATATTTGTATTATCCAACATTTATTTTACGTCGAATCAAGCTTCTGAAAAAGTGTGTTTAATCTGAAACAAGGTCATTGTTTTCTATGTGGTTAAAACCAGATACTTGCAAGGTTTTTGACGACGAGCGTAAATGAAAGGGAGTAATTTTTAGACCTTCCATAGACTAGCACGATCGATCTGGTGAAAATCAAAACAAAAGCGTAGATTTAGCTTTGTGATCTATTAAGCGTAAAAATCTGACACGTCACCATGAAATGCGTTTACCTTTCCAACTTACTAATTGTCAATAGCAATGATTGGATATACCCTCTACATAACTGTACCCTCTAATTGTCTGTTCGTGGACGGCAGTTTTAAATATAGCCGTGATACAATAATCATATTATTCAAATGAACTCGATCCGTTACACTGAGTTAAATTGAATTTCATTCATGTTTAAAGTGCTTTGTGGTTGTCAAAATTCACCGCGTCATCCCCAAACAAAACATCGCAATTTAGCTCTAAATCGTGACAAGAGATCGTAAATTGTTTTCTTGGCCGCAATGAGTGGCATTTTTGTAAAGTCTGAGGGATTTTGAAAGCTAACATCGACCTGTGAAAATTATTTGTTTCAAGTGCAAGAGAAATCAAACTAGTTTGTTATTAATGCAACAATGTTGTTGCAATAATTTCGTCATTTTCCCGAATTAGGAGACTCCTTGTATAATTTGAATTACCGTAAACGAAATGGAGCAATTTCTCAAGAATAAATAAAAAAAATGGAAATACTAACATATCGTAGACAATAACATTAATTCATTCGTCTCCCCCCTTTTAATTATAGCCATTTTAAGCGATTTTCCAACAGCGTGAATCAGCGTTTAACCCGCTCCGGTACCAAAAGGAATTGATTGTTCGTAAACAATTTATGTAAAAAACTTGAACTTAGTTGTTACCTTAAAAGGTCACGGTTTAGTCTGTTTTATTCGGCGGGAAAATTACCAAAAAATTTTTAAATAAAAGATCGTCTGTAGATCGTGTTTGTAGGCTTTACAGATTGTGTGAGGTCTATAATTAGAGTTCATGGAACCTGTTCAGAATATGATTAACTCGGCAGGTTTGTTTTCCTTGATAGGCTGTCTTTAAAAGTTATCATATGAATGGAATCACTTGAAGTGATCCGTATTTCACGAAATAAATATTGAAGTAGAAGTGGAATGAAAATCCGAGACAGTGATCAGAGGCATTTAAATGATGGTCCTTCAATGTGACACCCGCAAACGCACATGGCTTGTCAAATTGCGTGGGTTGATTCTTTGTTTTGAACGTACTTCGACGGAAGGAATCGGTTTGCTTGGGTCACTAGCGAAACATGATCTCGTGAGTGATGAAAATCGCGTGTACGTTATTTGAATTTATAGCAATGTTGAAAGATCCAGTTGTGATCGCACGTGAGTTGTTTGACATCGGACTTCACCACCTGACGTAAAGAAATTAGAACTTAAGTATATCTGACGCAAATCGAACCTAGATAATCCCTAAGAATGTAACAAGATTAAGATTTAGATCGTAATTTTAACGGCCGTTAAATTACCTCGTGGTGTAGACATTTTATGCGTTTGCCGGCTCAGTCTTGCCCAAATCTGCCCTGTTGTTTCTAAGGTGACGTCACATTGTAATTCCCGCGCGAGTAGCACCAGTCTTTCTTGAAATTCGCGCGCTAATGCCTTGGGTACCAGTTAGGAAATGAGGAGCGTTTGGAGACTATTTGTGATGTAAATTACAAGAAAAAGCTTCAGTAAATATTTAAAGCTTTAAAGACGACAGAAAAATTTAAATTATGCTTTTATTATTTTAGGTTTTCACTCTTAATATTGCATATATTCAAGCGATTTTTCAAGAGCGTCATATAAAGATGTTGAATTGGGCAGAATCGAAAACGTGGTCGAAATTGTAATTTTGTTTAGGATTGTTTTCCGAATTTGCCAAATTCTTGATCATTTTGTAGTGATGATTTACCTTTAAAAATTATGTTACATGCAAGTTAAGTTTTGTGAAATTTATTCAGTTTTAGAAAACGAATGAAAGTTTCCTGAGTGTATTTTTGGTAAGGTAACTTTCCATGTGCTTTGTTTGTGGTTCGTAACACCTTTTTCTTGATTTTTCTTAGACACCGGTGATATTACTTCTGCTTTTCAACAACGAAGTTAAATATCTCTTTTGTGTTCGAAATAAACAGGCCTGTTATATTGGATTAACTAATAATAAACTTCTTAAGCGATATTGAATTTTTCAATGGTTTTATACATTTCGCTCGCAGTCAAGTGCCTGAAACAAAACTATGTCTTCTCGCATTGTGTCCTCGTTCCCTGTCGGTCAGGTTCTTGTCGTAGAAGGGATCGAACTCGAGATACAAAATAAGCTTGGTAGCGGAGCTTTTGGCGTGGTCTTCAAGGCAAGAGACTTACTTGCGAGTGAAACTGTCTTTTATGCATTGAAAGATGTGGTGTGTTCGAATTCGGCTTCAATTGGCAAAGCAATCAGCGAAGTGGAAACGCTCCGTCGTGTGAAGCACGATTTTATTGTGAAAATTATAGCTGCCGACCAGTATGAAGACTCACGCGGTGGATTTCACGTGCTGATCTTAACGGAATACTGTTCTGGTGGGAATTTAAACGACAGGCTGTCGCAACCAAGCAGCGAGGAGAAAACTCTTAAATGGCTCAGCCAAATAGCGAGTGCGTTGAGCTATTTGCACTCGCTTCAGATCGTTCATCGTGATGTTAAACCAGACAACGTAATGCTGACAGACTCAACAAGAGAGGACTTAAAACTTGGTGATTTTGGTTTAGCGAGAGAGTTTCTTGCGTTGAAAAGAGTAGAAACACTGTCGGCTTCAAACTGTGGGTTGGCGCAATATTACATGCAGTCAGGGACCGGCCCTGCTCATTGGATGGCTCCTGAGGTTTTCACATGTCACTATACGGAGAAAGCAGACATCTTCTCCCTCGGTGTTCTATTCAACGCAATCCTTATGCGAGACTTCGCTTACTCGGCTAACGAGAGGCGATGGTACGGCGCATTCGTGAAGGTTTCTGGTGGAGTAAAACTTGGCCTCGGGTATGCGATGGCAATACTCGGTCCAGCGGCCATGACCGAGTTCGTTCATGATCACAAGCTGAGCGAGGAGAATGGATTCCGAGGTTTGATAATAGATACTCTGAATTATGTCCCGCAGGAAAGACCCAGAGCCGAAGAAATTTACTACAGAATTGAGGAAATCGCCACAAATATCCGTCTGCAATGGTCTGATGAGGAGCATATCCACGACAAGCGTTCAAAAGGAAGGAAAGTGCGTAGGCCGAGAATGAGGAACAAGTGCTTGATTAGTTAGGACTGTTTAATTAATTTGATCTAAGAGGCTGAAATTGCTGTGTGGGTATGATTGGATAGACAATTTATCGAATAAACTGAAAGCTTATAATTTCTTCAATGATTCAGTATAGACATGTGGTACAAAACTGTGCGTTGGTACATTGATTGGATGTGAACACTGGTTTTAAATTTTATCTAAGAAGAAGACTACAGTATTGGTGTAATATCAAAAGACTGAGAGGAACTTACGAGGTTTAAGGATTCTACACTTGATCATTAACACCGTAAAGGATGTAGATAAAGACTTGCTCTCTCCTTTGGAGGATAAAGAAGTAAATATAAGATATTGGAATGCATAAATAACAGAAGAAATCATGGAAATACTTTCAAGAGTCCTAATGAGCAACATCAGTTTTTTTATTCCTGTCTAGTCTAAAACGAAATGTGAAGACCATTTATGACTAAACTTTGTATACATGGAAGCTGCATAAAACTGAAAAGAACATTTCATTTACCTTCTTAACCTTAACTTAAAGTCAGCCGCCTTAGTCATCACATCAGTAAAGTAATGCTACCTTTACAGTAACAAATTATGTGAATATATGAGAACGTACTTCATCTCCTATAAAGTCTACCACGTACAATACACAGTGAACCCTAGAAAAGGTTCGAGAATGGTTGAAAAATTTTTAGAGAACTTTAACTCAAGCAATGAAAATTTGTTTTAAAAGAGTTAATGCAAAGTTAGCAGACAAGAAAGAAAAGCTCATTAATTAACCCTATTCACCCTTTTGTTAAGGAAAAAATTCATGCACGAATTTCACTGGAAAAAATACTGCTTAAGCAATCCACACCCTATCGTTCAAAACGATGATTGCTCCCCTACAAGATCCTATCACCATGTAAACTGTTAATTAGTTTACTCAGCTTGAAAACGGTCATTGCTCAAAAGAAAGACTCGTTTACACTTCCCTTCCTCTCATTCAGTCATAGTGTACATTAATTTTCACACAATGTTAGGATATTTTTTATATATGTTGTTTCGCAAGTTTTTTATCGGCGAATTTTGTGATCTATGAGGATGAATTTCTTAAATTATTTAGTGAGTTTTTTCTCACCAAGGTTGTTTTCTTTTTGACATGTAGCCCTTACGGAATGTGTGCTGCTCAAGCTCAAAGATACAACATGCAACTTCTTGGACCTTGGAAGTAAAAATATTATGAGCTCGCAGACCATAAGGGTCTGAACAGGAATTAAATTGAGCATGGTTATGGTTTTAGGAAACTAAAGTGTTGTTTGCTAACGGTCTTATGATAACCTCATGTTGATTCTAGTGTGGAATCTTCACTTAAGAGACTAAAGAGCCATTCCAGATCCAGGTCGTCAGTTTCTTCAAATGTATTACATAGCTCGTAAGCGCTCGGTCGATCATCAGGATCGTACTGTAAAGCCTCAATGACTAACCTCTGCATATCCCTGGAGCCACGTGCGCGTCTGGAAAAAGCTATGTCAGTTTCTGGATTGTGCCTTGCCATCGCAAACCTAAGGCCAACTTCTCCAACACCGCGAATACGTTTGAATGCACCGCAATACGGTTTTCCGTTGCTTTTTATGTAATCCCGTTGTAGGATGGCAAAAAACAGCACGCCAAGGGAAAAGACACGGCTTTTTCTGTGTAGTGACCCGTGGAACATTCAGGAGCTAGCCAGAACGACGTGCCAACTTCGGAGTCCATGCGGTATTGTACGACCATTTGCATCCACGAGCCATCGTTTCTTCGAGCGTCAACTCGTCTTAGTACGATGTACTCGCGAGTCAGGCCAAAGTCGGCTAGTTTAACTTTTCCACGTCTGTTCAAGAGTAATTTTCCGGTTTTAGGTCGCGGGGAACCACGCCGTTTGAGTGAAGGTAGGCTACAGCATCAGCAGCTTGACTCATCCACTTCCAGCTGGTTCGTTCGGAGCTTGGTCGAGAAAGGCGTTCGTTTAACTTTTCCACCCGCGCAATACTCAGTCAAAATCAACATGTGCAAGTTGTTTTGACTGTCGACGAACCGATCTGCTCCCTTTAGGGCGATTATGTTTTCGTGGGAGATTTCGCACAGTGTCTCTGCCTCACGGATTGCATCAAGAACTTGTGAAACGTTTAAGTAAAGGACGTCTTTTAAGGCATAGACTTTAGAGCGCGCTTCGTCTCTTACTTTGTAAACATCTCCAAATGCACCACTACCAAGGTGCTGTTCGACTCTCACTGTTTTGTCGCCTACACGCAGTCTTGGGGGAAGATCAATCCCGGCTTGTTGCATTTCGGGTTTTTCAGGCCACAACCGTTCTCTTTATTTTTATTCGAAATGGCAATTTGATGGAAACAACGAGTTCAGCCGCTGCGTTATGGTTGGTTCTGATTTCTCGGAAAAACGAACTAGCCAATTGATTTGACATAAGGGAACTTACAGGGGTGGTGTTATTTCAGTGGTACTCGGTATTAAGGCGATATTTCGATTGCGCATGAGTTGAACTGTTGTATATTTAATTGAGGAAGTCTTACAGTATCATTATTCAAAGCTTGGTTGTTTTAGTTGCTTTGGTTGGGATTAATTCGGGCTGAGCCTTTGTAAACGGAAGACCCCCCCTTCCCCCCGCTAGTCATAAAATGCAATGTTTTTCCGAGAATTCATAACCAAAATAAATGTTCTGTCAAATAATTGATTATTTTGTCTGTTAAATATAGTAAACAGGATTAGCGCTTTTTCGATCAGGCAAAATACATTACAATGCAGGGTTTGCTTTAAGGTAGGAGCTAAAGCCAATTATTTCTGATGTTAGTTTGTGCTTTATTATCCCTGCCCATTTAGGAAGTAGTAACATCCATGATGTAATTTTTTTAGATACTATGGTTTTTCTTCTGGCATCTTTACACTGCAGTGATTTGTTTCCCTTTAATTACTAATTAAAGTTGAAGGTTTTGTCGTAATTCAACTTAAGTTGTGCTTTCAGGTTTTCTTAAATTTCAAGTTTTGTTCACATTTTGGTGCTTCTTAAAGCTTCACCTTTAATTGACTCTTGATTTGCCTTATCACACCCATATTCATGTATATTAATATAATTTCTGTTTTGGGTAATCTTCAAATTGTTAGGAGAAAAGACATGCAAGTGATAACAAAAATTTTTTAAATTGCAGCGATGAAATAATTTTATAGATATTTCAATTGCTTCCCTAAGATAAAGCAAACCCACAATGAAGCTGAGAATATCTGGACTTGTAATATTTGAGGTCTACACATAATTAAAAAAGAGATGTTTAAATGTTATGAATTACTTATTGTCATACTTTATTAAAATTGTTTCTTTTTGCCAGGGTATAATTCATATAATTTCAATCATGTCATATGTAATAGAATCTTTCTCACTACAATACACAAAGAATGTAGCTAGCTATAATAATACACTATACCAAAAGCTTTTAATTCACATATTGTACTCTCAAATCCAGTGACTAAGAAACATGATTTGAACTGGTACAATAAAAATACAAGTTTAACAGTTATCATCTAAAAAATCAGGATACTCTTCTAAATCAATCTAAATTGTAATAATTGTATACCAAATGTTACTTTATTACATATATAACACTTATTAGATATAATAGCATACCCTAATTACTTCTAGCAAAGCACTTACACAAATTAGTTTTCTTATTCTAAATGCAGTTTAAAACAAAGAAATGAAGTGTACAACTATGTATATCATGTGGAGGAAATCAAATGCAAAATTGAAGAATTCACAATTACTATTAAATGGTGCCATAAAAATTGCCAAATAACATGTTAAGTGAATAAGAAGCTTCATGCAAGCATGTAAAGGAACCCCAGGGCGTGAAATCGCGCCTAATACAGGTGTTAATGCGACTAAATCTTCCACTTTGGTTACCAAATCCGGTAAAATTTTGCACAGCCCTATCCTACATTATGTATCAGGAGCCCAGTTTCTTTCATTGCCATTGGGAAAACAGATTTGTTTTACAAAAGTATGGGGCTGTGTGGAAATTTTTACCAAAAAGATTTTCAAAGATAAATTCGCAGCAAACTTCCTCGTTAAGTTTGTTTCCAAAACGCAGCACATGCATCTCGATCGATAACTAGACGCCATCTTGGATTTAGGTGAGCTTGAACGTTGAATATCTTCCATCCTAGTGTCCACTTTGTAGCACGTTAAAGATCCTTTTCCTGGCTCAATTTTGGAGGTTTTATCTAGAAGGCTGACAGCGTAAAAAAAGGTTTTTTTGTCTTTAAGAATGGCGACCAACTTTTTTTGAATTGGCTACTACTTTGAAAAATTTAGAAGCCAAGTGGCTATCAGAAAACAAAATTAACTCCACGCCCTGAACCCCTTCTAAACTTGGCCAATTAATACTTTTTACTCAGGCTTGCCCAAAAGCCAAAGTCTGAGTACAGGTTTCGGCTTTGTTATATATTTTTTGTTGTTTTTCTTGTTATATAGTAATCTGGATAGATTGTGCATTTTCAAGCTGATTAATCAGCAAAACAGTAAGAGTGCTTCTTCTGCATTATTGCCCACTCTAGAATCTATTCAGTGGGTGTGTATTTCACTAAAGGTTTCCCCATCAACCTGAGGCAGGATTCTATCTTAAGCTCTGGTAGTCAGCTTTTTTTTTAGAGTAAACCATATCAAGTCTTTTGATAATTTCTTCATTTGTTTGCTCTCCAATTGAAGTCTACCTACAAAGTATTTGGCTACTCTTAAAGAGTTTCCATCCTCATCATCTTCATAGCAGCTTTCTTCAACGCTCATTACCTCTATCATAAGTAATTCGGTTGCTCTCTTCTTTTTTATGCTGGTCAGCTCAGTTAACCACCTCAAAAGCTGTAGTTCGTCTCATTAACTTTTATGAAGCAATACACCAAGCTCGAGACTGGGTGTTTTAAGACTTCAAATGGAAAATATGATGCAAATCATTAATTACTCTTGAAGTATGCGAGTACATAGTGTAAGCATGGAATTCTTAAGCATGATATACTGTATAGTTTCTTCATCCTTATTTTTCATCAAATGGTCCATATAAACTATTGTTTATCACAAATAAACATCTTAATTTTTTTCTTTCTTTTGCCTCAACTACAGATTGATCTTTAGATTATATCATACAATTGCCAAATTTACTTTACATAGATTTTCTTGGAAGGCACTTTATGAAGACCAAAAACCATCATCAATAAATCCTCCTATATGCACAAAACAATTTTGGAGAGGACATGGTCTCATAAATGTGTTTATATGCAAAGCTATCCAATTCTGTCAACGCAATATCAACACCAATACTACAACAGTAACAATAAGTTATTCGCATAACATCTCAATATCTCTAGCAGCAGCTTAGACTCTGATTTCACTGCTTAATCAGGATAAAATAAAATATCTGAAACATTTTTTAATCTTAAAACATGTTACACACTCTTTGTCAAGATACAATCCACTAAAGTCATCTTTTTTTATCAGTTCACAAATCCTTCTCACAGCTCCCTAAAACAATGAAGAAATTTCAATCTGGAAGGCACAATTTGTCAAATTTTCTATTTTTACTTTCACCTTTTTTAAAAACCCTGGTTGTTTGAAGGCTAGATGGTGTAGAGCAATTAATGCCTGTGCAGTTAAAAATTAACCTTGCTCATCTGTATGAGTCAAAAGCACAGGTCCAAGAAAAAGAAGAAAAGGGATTTTCAAACTAGATAGCTCTCGTTGAAACAACGGAGAGAAATACCTTTTTGGTAGATCTGTTTGTGTCTAAAGGGATCATAATCATGTCAAATGATTACAGTATCGCCGAACTATACGTGCTATACTCAAGATGGCGGCATTTTCCGATGTTCCAATCGTGTTGATGTGAACCTTCGTTCGTAACAGAATGCTTCCACAGATAAAACAACAACAGTTAAAACCATAATGTGACTGACTTTTTTTTATTTTCGTTTTCTATTTTAGGATTACTATCTCCGTGATTTCAAACGACAGCGAAACGAACAACCTGAGTTTCACGAGTCAACATTTTACGAGGTTATTCCTTGTGATTTACTTAAGATGTTACTTTTCTTCAAGTTTAAACAACACTCGATAAAATTTCGGGCGAGATGACTTTCGGGCGACTTGACCGTAAACCCTTGACTACGTAGTGGTGCATTTGTGGCAATTTATATAAAATTCATAGACCTTCGGCCAGTCGGAAGGGCAAATATCTTCATCATCAGTAGTTGTATTGTCTTTATGAGAGCAAAATTTAAGAAAATAGGAATCTAGTCAGTAAGAATTCTTTCATGATTTGAAGTTCAACTGATCTCCTTTTTGGGTTTACAGTCAAGTCGCCCGAGAGTCATCTCGCCCGAAGTCATGTCGCCTGAAACCCGAGTCAAGTTGCCCGAAATTTTAAAAATGTCGCCCGAAAAAAACAGTCAAGTTGCCCGAAGAAACAAATATTTAAAGGATCTGAATTTCAGACTGTTAATAGGCAATATCGGTGAGAAATTTTTATCACTAAAGCGCTCTTTGTTTCCGACATCACCATAAAGATTCTTAAAGTGTTGTTCGTCGCCTAATTCGAGAGATTGTAGTAGACGCTAATAAAAAGAAAAGGGCCAACAAGGACTGTAATGTAGCGGTGTTGACAAGACGCCTATATGTCCTATAGAAACTCACAACCAAGATATATTCCAGAAATTCTTATATGCATGCCTCTTACCTTAATTTTTGTAACTTAGTCCTGTACCCAACAATCATGTGACAACGCTTTACATTAAAGGACAAGTGTTAAATGTATAGTTTTTAAGTTCTCTTCTAAGTTTCTTGTCTGGTCGTGTACCCAGGTAGGTAAGTGCCAGTTCACCTGTTCGGCAGACTTACACGCTTAGTAGCTCGAGCCAGCCTCAGTCGAAGACTCGCCAGGTTCTACACTCTCTTAATTAAATAACCCTCAGACGGTTGCAAATCTCTTGAGCGGTCGGCCGATCATACGGGTTGTACTTTAGCACTTCTAAAACGATCCTTTGTAGAGCGTTTGATCCTTAAGCGTGACTTGAAAATTGAATTCGTGTATTCCTATCAACCCTCTCCATCGCAAGGCCGACGCCAATCTTCCTTTTATCATGAACACTTACGAAGGCCCCGTAAATGGCTTTCCCGTCGATCACGATGTAATCCCGCTCGAGTATTGCAAAGAGGAGTGTTCCGAGAGAGAAAATGTCGGCCTTTTCAGTATAATGGCCGCGGAGAAATTCTGGAGCTACCCAGTGGATTGGACCTATTCTCGATTGCATGTAGTATTGCTCGTAAATAGCCAGCCACGAGCCATCATCCTGTACCACGCCAGCTCGTTTTATTGCGATATACTCACGGGCAAGGCCAAAGTCGCCCAATTTTACATCTTCTGATGCAGTCAAGAGCACATTATCTGCCTTCAGATCGCGGTGAACTATGTTGCACGAGTGAAGGTGGGCAACAGCTTCTGCGGTTTGGGTCATCCATGTCAGATTTTGTGGGTCGCTGCTTGGTCGAGCAAGGCGATCATTTAAGCTTCCGCCGGGGCAATACTCAGTCAAAAGCAACATATGCAGACCTCCACCATCGCCAAACTGGCCTACACTCACGATCGCAATAACATTTTCATGAGAGATTCTGTTTAGTGTTGAAGCTACACGGATGGCGTTACGAATGGCTGAACCATTCAAACAAAGGATATCTTTCATAGCGTACACTTTGGACGTTCTTTCTTCTATCACTCTGTAGACGACACCAAAAGCGCCGTTACCAAGTTGCTGTTGGATATTTACTATTTTCTCACCTACTTGAAGCCGCGTTGGAAGGTAAGTTTGGGCCATTTGAAAGTCGCCTCACAGATGTTATCTGGACAGAGCTTTGATCGACACGGACAAGCAACGAATATTTATCAGAGCTTCCCCTAATGTGAACCAGCGCGCATCGCGGCCTTTTGTGAATTTTGACTTCCGGTTATGAAGGTACAGGTTGAAACCCATGTCTTGAGCGGAATTATAAATAAAGAATAACGCATGGGCACGCGTAGATATGGAATTCATCTTCGGGTCTCTTGCGATGTGTGCTGCCCAACCTCGAATAAACAACATGCAACCTCTTGGACCTTGGAAGTGAAAATATTGTGTGCTTGCAGACCACAAAGGTCTCAACAGAAAAATAGGTTGAGCATGGTTACAGTTTTAGAAAAGTAAAGAATTGAATGTAAAATTTCAGTGAGATCATCAGTGAAATTTGTTTAAGAGAACTCGCATCTTTCCATATATCTGCCAGGGATTGTGCCAGTTTCTCATAGTTTTTCTGAATCTCTTATTACAGCAATTAAATGGTTCCTATCAGTAGACATTGTATTTCCACCTTCATTCAGAATATTAAAGGTTATATTGATGACGTAACTTTTTGCCAATGTCTATGCCACCTCCAGACATCATTGTAAGTTCATGGTGTACTTCATTTTAAACATTAAATCTTTCTCTGGTGTAAAGAATTGAATTTATTTCATCAATGTCCTCATAAGTCAGTTCTTCAGTTTGAGATGAGGTTTGAATGTTCTCCTCATCAACGTAGGGGTCTCATATTCATGAGTGTTCTCATTGAATATTTCAGTTTTATTGGCCACGAAATTATGAAGCTCAAGAAATGACAGTGATGTTTCAAAATCTGTGACCATTTGTTTTCGAACTCTCGATCGATGCCTTTAGCTATAATCTGAAAATGTTTTCCTTTTACCAAGGCCTCTTGATTTCTGTTCCTTTTGCAGTTTCATAAATTTCTGAACTAAGTTTTAACTTTGGTTAGGAATTTTCCATTAATTTCCTTATTGTGAGCCTTTGCTTCCTTCAACTTCTCCTCAATTTTGCCTTTCTTGCACCTCTCCTCTTTAGGATCATCTTCAAGCTTTCTTTTCTACCCCTTCAATTCAATGTTTTCATTTTGTAGTCTTACACAGTCCATTTCGTTGTAATAATCTTAAAGCTCCAGCTTGAATATTTACCATTAGTCCACTGGGAAAATAGCTTTTTTAAGCCATTGCCTCTTTGGCTTTTGGGTTTCTCTGGTGCTTGATTTAATATCTAGATATTTGTTTTGAACTCCTCTACAGGTCTAGAATTTACTACCACACTAGCTAGGAACATTGCATTTCTGGCATACTTTCCATATCAGAATCTATAAAACAGATTCTACTCTAGGCAGGCTATCCCTCTCATCCATTTTCTTGGGCTTCTTGTTTAGCTGATTTGTATATTTCGTAAAGAAGTTTACTGCCCAAGCAAAGTACACACAGACAGAAAAAATAAACAGATATAATTTATTGCCGAATACATGAAAATGGGCACACATTTCTTGTAAATTTTGACAGTGGACTTACTGGTAACTTACTCGTTTATATGAGCCTGAGGAATAATAGTTCGTTGCTATTATTTTCCGCCATTACTATTTCTAGTATTTTCCTTGTCTTTCCCGTCGTGTGGCACGGCTTTTATGACACAAACTAAGGCAAGCGTGATCTCAAGTACAGTAAGGGCCTGAAAGCCTCGCGGAATCGCAAACATCTGAAAAATATCTATGTTGAAACGCCGATTTGCATGTGTTTTTTGGCTCGAAAGATTTCGAATTTGGTGCCAAACTTATCATTAGATCCTAGACTTTTGCCTAGTTCGAGAGATTGTAGTAGACGTTGATGAAAAGAAAAGGGCCAACAAGGACTGTAACGTAGCGCTGTTGACAAGACGCCTACATGTCCCTCAGAAACTTACAGCCAAGATATACTCCTGAAATTCTTATTTGCATGCTTCTAACCTTAATTTCTGTACCTTAGTCTTGCACCTAACAATCGTGTGACAACGCTGTACATTAAAGGATAAATGTTACATGTATAGTGTTACATGTATTTTTAAGTTCTCTTCTAAGTTCCTTGTCCGGTCGTGTACCAAGGTACGTAAATGTCGTTTCACTTGTCCGGCACACTCAAACGCTTAGCAGCACGAGCCAGCGTTAGTCGAATCAGTCGAAGGCTCTCCAGGTCTTATACACTCTTGAATAACCCTCAGAGAGTTGCAGATCTCTCGAGCGCTCTGCCGATCACGCGGGTTGTATTTTAGCAACTCAAGAACGTTTCTTTGTAGAGCGTTTGATCCTTGAGCGTGACTTGAGAATTGAATTCGTATATTCCTATCAAAATTCTCCATCGCATAGCCGACGCCAATCTTTCCTGCACCACGAATATTTACGAAGGCCCCATAAATGGCTTTCCCGCCGATCGCGATGTAATCCCGCTCGAGTATTGCAAAGAGGAGCGTTCCGAGAGAGAAATCGTCGGCCTTTTCTGTGTAATGGCCGCGGAAAAATTCTGGAGCCACCCAGTGGATTGGACCTATTCCCGATTGCATGAAGTATTTCGTGTAAGTAGTCAGCCACGAGCCGTCATACAGTTGCACGTCAGCTCGTTTTAGTGCGATATACTCACGAGCAAGGCCAAAGTCGCCCAATTTGACATCTTCTGATGCAGTCAAGAGCACATTATCTGCCTTCAGATCGCGGTGGACTACGTTGCACGAGTGAAGGTGGGCAACAGCATCGGCGGTTTGAATCATCCACTTCAGATTTTGTCGGTCGCTGCTTGGTCGAGCAAGGCGATCATTTAAGCTTCCGCCGGGGCAATACTCGGTCAAAAGCAACATGTGCAAACCTCCACCATCGTCAAACTGGCCTACACTCACGATCGCAATAACATTTTCATGAGAGATTCTGTTTAGTGTTGAAGCTTCGCGGATGGCGTTACGAATGGCTGAACTATTCAAACAAAGGATATCTTTCATAGCGTACACTTTGGAAGTTCTTTCTTCTATCACTTTGTAGACGACACCAAAAGCGCCGTTACCAAGTCGCTGTTGGATATTTACTGTTTTCTCACCTACTTGAAGCCGCGTTGGAAGGTTAGTTTGGGCCATTTGAAAGTCGCCTCACAGATGTTATCTGGACAGAGCTTTGATCGACACGGACAAGCAACGAATATTTATCAGAGCTTCCCTAATGTGAACCAGCGCGCATTGCGGCCTTTTGTGAATTTTGACTTCCGGTTATGAAGGTACAGGTTGAAACCCATATCTTGAGCGGAATTATAAATAGAGAATAACGCATGGGCACGCGTAGATATGGAATTTATCTTCGGGTCTCTTGCGATGTGTGCTGCCCAACCTCGAATAAACAACATGCAACCTCGTGGACCTTGGAAGTGAAAATATGGTGTGCTTGCAGACCACAAGGGTCTCAACAGAAAAATAGGTTGAGCATGGTTACAGTTTTAGAAAAGTAAAGAGTTGAGAGTGAAATTTCAGTGAGATCATCAGTGAAATTTGTTTAAGAGAACTCACATCTTTCCATATATCTGCCAGGGACTGTGCCAGTTTCTCATAGTTTTTCTGAATCTCTTATTACAGCAATTAAATGATTCCTATCAGCAGACATTGCATTTCCACCTTCATTCAGCATATTAAAGGTTATATTGATGACATGTAACTTTTTGCCAATGTTTGTGCCATCTCCAGATATCATTGTAAGTTCATGGTGTACTTCATTTTAAACATTAAATCTTTTTGTGGTGTAAAGAAGTAAATTTATTTCATCAATGTCCTCATAAGTCAGGAATTTTAGGTTAGGAATTTTCCATTAATTTCCTTATTGTGAGCCTTTGCTTCCTTTAACTTCTCCTCAATTTTGCCTTTCTTGC